CACACACCTGTAATCCTTGAGAGGGCAATTAAGACTGGGTGCGGTGGCACACACCTATAATCCCAGCACTTGGGAGGCTGAAAACAGGAGAATGATTATGAGTCAGATCTACATAGTGAGACCCTGGAGACCCTGTCCTAAATACAGAAAAAAATAATAATAAATCAATAAATTAAATTGTCATAAATACAATGAAGAAAAGCCCTAGGTGTTGTAAGAGATTGTAACAGAGAAAGAGGTGTCCGGGATATGGAGAAGGATGGAAGACTGGCGAGGAAGACTGTCAGTTTTCCACCTTTCCCCATATTCCTAAGGAAGTGACATTTAAAAGCTGAGGTCTGAAAAAGAAAAATCAGCCAGACAAAAATGGTCTGATGCTGAACCTATTAGAGGACCTGAAAGATACAGGGACCATATATGCAAAGACTCAGAAAAAAGACAATGATTATGATCAGTAGATAATAACACTGTCTTTATCATCAGCACATTAGAAACTGAAATGCTCACCTGTCTGATGTGTGGTAAGAGAGGGAATGAAAAGAGAAATATTAGAGTAAGAATCATCAGAATAAGATAGGAACACTACAGGAGTAACAATTTTAATAAGTTTCAAAAAGACAGGTCCTACTTTTGTCCCCCATTTTATGATGTCACGTATTTCCTAAGAAAATACAAATTGTATGTTGTAATCCTAAGATTTAAATCACTTACTCTTGGCAGGTGCAAGGGCCTGAGTTCAATCCCCAGTTCCACCAAAAATGAATAAATAAATCACGTAATCTACCACTGCTAAGCAGTTACTCTACTCTAAGTAGCTCTTTATATGTTTAGAAAGTTAGGTAAGAATAAATAGTAAAGCTAAAAAGGTAAAACTGTCACTCAAGGATATATCATTGATTTTCCCTTTTAAATTTTCTATCTATATTAATAAGTGTTAATCTATAGGAAATCAATCATGCAAACCAGTACATTAATTTTATCAGACAACTGATAAACAAGTACCATTTTATTAAAAAATAATATAGGCTTTATGATTATTACTGTCCCACATCAATGAAAAGGTAAACATTAACCAGAAAGCACATAAAACATGAAACAACATAAGTGGGCATTAAAAACTTTTTAAGGACTTACTACATTTTACCATAAAAATATTCTCAGTGGTCAAATAACAGTAGTCTTATTAATCTAGTTTATTTCCTAAGATTCCTATAAAGGACAGCTATCTGGTAGAATTAAGGTATAATATATAAAGATAGCTAGCTACCTTTAAAATAAATTCTATGTATCCATAATTGCAAACATGATTGAAAATTAAGTCCTAAGGATGAATTAGATATCCACAAAAACTTGACTCCTAAAATACAATGAACTCACTTAGTCAACATATCATAGTTTAAATGATCATATCTCTAGCTTACCTTACTTCTAAGGAGGCCAAAGCCTGGTGTATGTCTAAAATTCCTTAATTTGCACATACAAAATAGTAACTAATGATAAAATAATTTGTTTAGAGCTACTCACAACTAAGAAACTAAGCTACTAAAATTTTTTAAAACCTTATCAGCACATAAATAATGATCATAGTTAAAATTTTTAAGTGATTCCTATGGCTGCACATATGCCCACCAGTTATGTATACTGTATTGTACTCAATACTATGATAAACAGTAAGTGGATGAAGTTTGTTCTAGCAATATTATTTTAAACCTGTGAAACATACAGGTTACTTAATCTAAAGTCATGCAGACTTTCCAGATTCCAAGGCCTAAATCTTAACTACAGGTGAAATTAGCTTTTTCTTTAAAAGAAACTGAGTTACTTTCCAAAAAGAATCTACAGGGCTGGGGATATAGCTCAGTGGCATAAGCACTTGCCTGGCAAGCACAAGGTCTGGCGTTCGATCACTGGTACTCAAAAAAAAAAAAAAACAAAAACAAAAACAAAAACATAATACTTCCACTAAGTAACTCACATACTGATTATTTTGCCACCCCCTCCCCTTTTTTAGGGACTGGGAAATAATTTTTGATATAAATTCTCATTCTAAGTTCTAAGCCTATTAATTTCACTTCTTGGCTATTGTATAGTTTTCAATTTAAAAGGCTACATTCTTCATCAATTTTAACATAACATATTTATTAAAGCACATACAACCAAAAACTAATAAATTCACAAATACTATAGTAAAAAATAAACATTTTTAAGAAAATATTTTCAACTCTCTCAAAGAAAAGTATGCCCCATTCCACAAATAGTTTATTACATACTAGAGAGTATTCTGAATACCCAGGAAACAGATTAGGAGGAAAAACTTGTGTTTCTGGATCTAGTGGAGGAAAATAACAAAC